AAAAAAAAAAAAAAAAGATGTTTGAAGTAAACAAGCATCTTGGGGGGAAGAGATTGTGTTCTTTGCTTGGCACATTCTGGCTTTTGTAAAGTGTAACATAAACCCAGGGTTCTGTCTAAATAATGCATTGCAGTAATGATGGAGTGCCTGTTTTGTGCAAAGTGGTTAGAGGTATATGTGAAAAATATAGAAGGCCAAGGAAGACAGTCGTAAGATACTCTAGGTAAGCAGGAAAGAAGAACCATGGCAGTGAGAGTTCTTGTTTTTACTATTATCATTTTGGAGTTGAATAATTTAAAAGGAAAAAAGCCTGTAAAATGTAGCATTCATTTTCTACTTATACTGTTCCCTCCCTCCTTCCCTCCCTTCCCCCTCTCTCTTTTCTTCTCTTTTCTCTCTCTCTCTCTTTCTTTCTTTCTTTCTTTCTCTCTCTCTCTCTCTCTCTCTCTGCCAGTCTTGGGGCTTGAACTCTGGGCTGGGCACTGTCCCTGAGCTTCTTCAGTTTTAATGGAGATAAGAGTATCATGGAGTTTTCTGCCTGGGCTGGCTTTGAACCATGATCCTCAGATCTCAGCCTCTTGAGTAGCTAGGATGACAGGCATGAGCCACTGGTACTAGCTTCTTAAACAATTTTCTAATCAGAAAAGATTATGGTCACTAAATTAGTATTACAGTTGAGTTATATGATGTTTGTCTCTACCCATAATTAAATTGAGAGAACATAGACCCTTGAATCTGCTGGTTTGTGGGGTTTTGAAAAAATATATAGGAGATGGGAAGATGGCTCAGTGGTAAAGTGCTTGCCTTGTATGCTTGAGGCCCTGGGTTTGATTCCTTAGCACCATATAAGCAGAAAAAGCCAGAAGTGGTGCTGTGGCTCAAGTGGTAGAGCTCTTGCCTTGAGCTGAAGAGCTGAGGGACAGTGCCCAGACCCAGAGTTCAGGCTCCATGGCTAACAAAAAACAAACATTGCTGTACAGGGGGGTTTGGTTTGTATTTTTGTTCATGAACCATCTGGAATCATACCTATTTCTCTAATTTTAGGTAATCTGCATGGTTGTTGGAAGACTTTCTTCTTGATGAATGCTGTCATGCCTGTATATTTATGCATATTTGTCTTTATTTTTGGTAGAAAATGATGCATCCGGTTGCCAGCAGTACTCCAGTATTCTGTGGGCCTGGCAAACCTTCCTGTCTCAGCGAAGATGCCATGAGAGCGGCTGATCAGTTTGACATCTATGCCTCCCAGCAAAGCAAGTACAGCCACACAGTCAGCCACAAACCCATGGTGTGTCAGAGGCAAGACCCGTTAAATGAAACACATTTGCAGACTACAAGTGGCAGAAGCATAGAGATAAAAGATGAACTAAAGAAAAAGAAAAATCTCAACCGATCTGGTAAGCGTGGCCGGCCTTCAGGAACCACCAAATCAGCAGGCTACCGGACCAGCACAGGCAGACCCTTGGGGACCACCAAAGCAGCTGGATTTAAGACAAGTCCAGGCAGACCTTTGGGTACCACTAAAGCTGCAGGATACAAAGTCAGCCCGGGGAGACCTCCAGGTAGCATTAAAGCTCTATCCCGTCTTGCCGATCTAGGTTATGGCTGTGGCACTGCTGCTTTTCCTTATCCTATGATGCACGGCAGAGCAGTTCACGGGGTAGAGGAAACCAGCAGCGAGGTCAAACCGCCCAATGAGTGAGTGAGGAGAGGAGGGCTCGGCTCAGGAGGAGAGGGTGAAGAATCCCAAAGCTTCTCGGTTCCATTTTGACATAAATCCGTGGCCCAGGCTTTCTTTACAGTTTCGTTTTTCTATTTGATTTTCCCCCTGCTTTGGCCCAGAAGCTGCCACAGGCTAACAGAGGCACTCAGGGCGTGGGCAGCGTGGCATTGTGTATTTGTACATAGGTTCCACGACACAACCCTCCATCGTTTTGTTCTTTCTTCAGAGTTAGGGCTGTATCTTAGGTTTCTATACAGCTCGTGGGCCATTCTGATTAGATGCTTTGCGTGCTAAACACCCAAAACCATTACACCTACTAGTTTCAAGTAAGCCTACAGTATATAGTAAGGCTGTTTTAGCTGATGGAGCAAAAAGGCAAAATAGTGCTTTTGGATTTCTTGAGGTGATGGCTGTGTAACTTTGTAACATTTATTCTCCTAAGACAGAACATAGCTATTTCTATGGTTTGGAATTTAGAACTTTTGTGTGTGTGTGTGTGTGTGTGTGTGTGTGTGTGTGTGTATATGTGTGTGTGTGTGTTCTAAGTTTAAGCAGCTTCTAATTTATTGATCTACGTGGTATTAGTTGATTTAAACATTATTCCTAAATGAATACTTCATATTTGCTGTTAGCAGTGATAGGTTGTTTTTTTTAATTGCCTAAGAGCATATATACCAAATATTTCAAATAATTCATATTTAGAAAACCTTTAAACTATTTTATAAAAACAGCACATGACATTTTTTTGTGAAATGCAGAGCATTCTGAGAATAACATATTTAATAGGAAGTGAAACATTCTTAAGGTCTGCGCATAGCTATAGTCACTATTTTGCCTTTCATATTATACTTAGTGAGTTTTAAAGTATTATATTTAAAAACACGTACTGGTATTTCTCATTTATTTGGAATGTTGTTTTTTTTCTTTTCCTGAGAATTGACCTGTTGCATTAGCACTTAACTATGTTTTCAGGTTTCTCTCTACCAAAGGACACAAGCTGAGTGGTAGACTGTAAAACTAGTATAACAGAATGCAGTTTCCTGACCATTAGAGCCCAGACACTCAGAAGTATAGAACTCCCATCTATGCATGAAACATGTAAAAAAAAAATTCTGGTTAGTATAATTGAAGATGGTATTCTAGCTCCACTGAGACCGCTTTTCCCCAATGATGTTTGCTTTAGAAGCAAGAGAGTTAGCAGAAGAAAGTATGGGGCATGCAGATAAAGTTAAGGACAGAAGGAAGTCTGTCTTTCTGTAATTTTTTTTAAGTGTGCATGTGTGCGTGTGCGTGTGCGCACGTTGGTCCTGGGGCTTGAACTCAGGGCCTGGGCGCTAAGCTACTTTTTTTTTTCCCTCAAGGCTAGCACTCTTTATCACTTGAGTCATAGCTCCACTTTCAGCTTTTTGGGTGGTTAATTGGAAATAAGAGTCTGATTGACTTTCCTGCCCTGGCTGGCATCAAACTGCAATCCTTGGATCTCTGCTTTCTGAGTAGCTAGGATTGCAGGTGTGAGCCACTGGAGCCCGGCTCTTCCCTCCCTTTTTTTTTTTTAATTTTATTTTAAATGTAGTCCTTGTTAATACCGTTTTATTTATTCTGAGTTTGTTCTAAATTAAAATTATGGACTTCAGATTTGAAAAAAATTCCACTGAACTTTAAAGTTAGAATATTTGTATTAGTTGTAATTTTAAATGCCTTTGAGATTAAACTGTAGATTTGCAGGATCCAAAAGCTTTAAAAAAAGTAACTGAAAATATAAAAGGGCACATATTGTGTTGGTTGGGCTTGCTCTTAGTTCTTGCAAACTCTTGATTGAAAATGGATGTCATACCTTTCTTATCAGGAAAAAAGCAGCAAGCCTTCAGGTGTTCCAGCGATGCCTGACACAATGAGCTGGACTTTATGCTGCTCTTTACAGTAAGAGGTGTTGTGTTGTGTGTGGGGACTGTGTGCACTGGCATCTTAAAAACAGTGACCTCAACAAAACAGCTTTGCACAAACCATAGAGCAATGTGGGATGACTACGTAAGCAGTCGTAGCATTCTGGCAGCTAAAGTGCTGCACAAGAATTTCTTCTTGCAGAAGCTTAGGATATAAAACCTGTAATAATTTTCTCAGAACAGTATCACTTCTGGCACATAGAAATGTTGCATCTTGACTCATCTTGACTCATGTGTTCGTCCGTCCATCTACTCTCCTGTGTCTGTTCTCGCGCTGTTTCTCAAGCTGATGTGCAGCACCTGGCTGCTTAGCAGTGGTCTTTCAAGTTGCTTCCCGAGACAGGCGTTTCATTAAACATTCTGTGTAGAATAATGTCCACCACTGTCAGGAATTGGGTTGCACATTGTGTTTTACAGCAGGTCCATTTAACATCGCTCTTTGAGTTTATTTTCATTCCTGATTCTGTTAAACACACGCCCTACCCTTTCCTGCATTCATTCCACTCCCCAGTCCTTCAGCACATCCGCTCTGGTGCTGTGCTGTGTGTCAGAAGTTAAGGCAGGTGTACTATTGTATGGTGGATTTTGTATGCTTGTTTATGAAATGATGAAATCAACTAAAGGAGGCGTGTTCATAATAGTGTTTATTATCAGAAGCTGTCCAGAACAAAGGAACGAATGGCTACAGTTGGGAATGGATAACGTCGTTTAAAAAAATCTGGATTTACTGTTCACGTGAGCAGGTACCTGAAATACTAGATCCCTCCCTCCACTGCTGAGCGTCTCCTGATTCCACTTGTTTCTTTGTGAACAGTTTACTGGTGCCATGCTGAAGAGAAAGACATCTAAGGGATTACATGAAGTCTTAAAAGTATAAAATATTTCTACTTCTACATAATCTAAAGACTACATTGTGCATCTTTCGTAACACTGTGTCTTGTCATGAGAAACACTGAAATAGCATGTTAAACAGTTGCCTATATTTTAATCATTGGAGGAAACTGGCCTTTTCTCCCCATTCTTCCTTAAAAGGTAAATTGCTAATTTTATACTGTGTAATTGTTTTTCACAAAATAGGTTTCACTATTATATATTAAAACTGTCCATCAGTAATGATCTTCTACTCAAGTAAGTTTGCTTTATCTTTTTTTTTCTTTTAAGAAACACTTTTTGACATGCCTTATTTATTACTATTACCCTAGCCAATAAAGAGCTAATACAGATAAATTTCCATTTTTTGACAGATATAACCTTGCATAGCTAATCTTTAGTATGGGATGATTTTGATACTATCTTTGGAGTTTTGCACTGGATACTAAAAAATTACTGGCACAGTGTATTGGCAAAAACCGTATCTGGTTTAATTTTTAATATTGGGGATATTTTTTAAATCAGTGGTTCAATTAGACTAAAATTTTGTGATTTTTATTTACTTTTTAAAAGAAATGTCTGTCCAAATAATATGTATTCATTCCAAGCTGATGTTTATGTGAATTTATATATGTATTTCCATGAGACAGTAGTTTCTTTGAGTTAAGGAAGAAGGAAAAAAACCTCTATCTGAATCCATTTATTAGGTAAAGGGTGATTCATCCAATGTAAGAATAACCACAGTGTGTGCGTTTAAAAAGTAAACTTCTTTATATTGTAAGAAGCTTTAAAAGAACAATTCAGGGGGTACTGATGATAAATGCTACTCTGTCAGTCACTGTTTATATGCAGGGAAACTTCGCAGTCCCTTTATTGTCAAATACAAGAATTCACAGCAGTTGTTCAATTCTTTTTTCTTGGACATAAAATGTTTAGACACTATTATATTTTTGTTTTTACCATAACAAAGATTTTTGCTCTTCCACCCTAGGAGGTATCCAGTCCTTTCCTTTGTTTCCCTTCTCCTTCCCAAGTAGACATGTCAGTTCTCACAGTATATTTACATTTTTGGAAACTTCAATGCTTATAGCGAAACAAGTGTGTGATTTAATCAGACTACTTGGTTCTGTTTTCAGTTTCCTTTTTCCAGAGCTAATTATAAAGAAAATAATTACCAGTTAACTGCTAATAAGCACGTTGTCCTCTGCTGTAAAAAGTCTGAATAGATACTGTGTATGTTTCAATGTCCATGAACCTGAACTACTCGTGTGCAATTATGTGTATGGGAATGGAGTAGTGTTCATGATTTGTATCTACATCATCATATGGATGTATATTTATTAATAAAGTCATTGCTTTAAAAACCACCCAATCATCTGTTTACATATATATGTACATATATATTTATATTTATTTACTTTTTGCTGGCTTGAACTCAGGGCCTAGGTGCTCAAGGCTAGCACTCTATCACTTGAGCCACAGAGCCACTTCTGGCTTTTTCTGGGTAGTTTATTGAAGATAAGAGTCTCAAAAGAGTTTCCTGCCTGAGCTGGCATTAAACCATGATCTTCAGATCTCACCTTCCTGAGTAGCTAGTGTTATAGGCATGAGTGACTGGTGCCCAGCTAGTTTACTATATTTTTTAACATACTTTTGGAGTAAGAAAATGATGCATGGAGAACTTCTTCTATGATTATAGTGTATTTTTCGTGGAGTTTTGCCTCTCTATAGTTCTTTTTTCCCTAAATATATATTTGTAATTTCAAATCCTTGCAAATGTATTTTATTTCCGTTATTATTTTCTTTGCCAGTCCTGGAGCTTGAACTCAGGGCCTAGCCACTGTCCCAGAGCTGCTTTTACTCAAGGCTAGCACTCTACTACTTGAGCCACAGCACCACTTCTGGCTTTTTTTGGTACTGAGGAATTGAATCCAGGGCTTCATGCATGTGAGGCAAGTACTCTATCACTGAGCCATATTCCCAACCCTTTATTTCCATTATTAAAGATACATATTGTAGGCTAATATTCTAAGGCTTACATCTGAACTTCAATATGCTCTCTTTGGTTTAACAATTCAGATATAGTTGGCTCATACGTTATTTTATTTGTAAGATGTTACTGGGGCTGGATCTCAGAGCTTTATGCTCCCACTGGGCTCTCTTGTCCTGCCTTGTGTTCTTTCACTTGAGCAACGCCTCCAATACAGTGTTTTTATAATCTTAAGAACTTCGTGATAGCCGGGCGCTGGTGGCTCACGCCTGTAATCCTAGCTACTCAGGAGGCTGAGATCTGAGGATCGCGGTTCAAAGCCAGCAGGGGGAGAAAAGTCTGTGAGACTCTGATCTCCAATGAACCACCAGAAAACCAGAAGTGGTGCTGTGGCTCAAGTGGTAGAGCGCTCGTCTTGAGCTGAAGAGCTGGAGGGACAGCGCCCAGGCCCAGAGTTCAAGCCCAGGACCAAAAAAAACAAAAAACCAAAAAAAAAAAAACAAAAAACAAAAAACCTGTTAGAAACAGGGACAACCTGAACTCTTCAAATCTCCCTGAAAACCAGTGTGTGCGCCACCTGGTGGTCAGACAGTCAAATGTGGATTTATGGAATTAGGGGGTGGTTTGTTTAGACAGTGCTGATTTAAAGACAAGAACTAAACATCTATAAGTGTATCTATCAAATCGCACTTCTAAAACACCAACATGGGGAGTGAATAGTAGCCACATAGTGTCTAGGTTGGAGTGTCCAGATTTGTCAACTCATCTTCCTTTTCATAGATGAAAAAAAACAATAATCCCTTACTGCTCTGTGCTATTGGCTCTCCATGACCATTGCAATCAGATGGGAGAGAGGAGGAAAGGTTTGCTATTATGCAATCAAATGCTCTACCACTGAGCTATACCCCCGAAGGTTTGCTATTATGTAATGGGGGTGATGACAGTAGTGATAAACTAGAATTGTGGGCTCTTTCATCCATGTCTCTCCTTGTCTCAGATTCTCCTGAACCCACTCAATCCACAGTAAGAAGTATCCGTGGGGTATCGTTAATGATGTCTGACAATTGTCTAATCAAATGGCCGGATGGCTTCAATCATCCCATAATAGACATCATAGAATTATTATTTTTTTTTGCCAGTCCTGGGGCTTGAACTCAGGGCCTGGGCGCTGTCCCTGAGCTGCTTTTGGTCAAGGCTGGCACTCTACCACTTGAGTCACAGCTTCCACTAATGTCTTTTCCTGTGTCTGTGGTACTGAGGACTCCAGAGCATCCTGCCTGCTAGGCGATCGCTCTACCACCAAGCCCAGAATTAAGACTCCTAATAGCTCAGCTCCCAGCCAGCTATCCCGAGGGGGAGCTGGGCTGGGCCTATTATTACACAGGGCAGGACTGCCCTGGCCGGGGCTGCTTCTAGGAGGCCTTTCCGCGGGGTTGGTTCTAGGTCCCCAGCATGCCGTACTTTGGGGTGTCATCAGTTCACAGCAGTTAAAGTCCGCACACGCCTGATCCCGGTGGGTGCGGGGTGAGAACCCTGGGGCAGGGTCACGGCCTGTGGGCCTAGCCCCCCAGGAGGCTCAGTAGATCTGAGGATCCAGGTTCGAGGCCAGCCTGGGCAGCCAGAGGTGGAACCGTAGCTCAAGTGGTAGCCTGCTAGCACGGAGCGAAAAGGCTAAGGGACGGCCCTGGGCCAGAAACCTTCCGCCCGACTCCAAGATGGCGCCCACGGCGACCGCCAGGTGCCAAGATGGCGGCAGGAGCCGCGCCTGCGCTCTCGGCCCGCCCGGTCCCCGCCCCCTCCGC